CGCTGGGGAACTAGAATCTCATTTCACTCGGAGACTTAGCTGATGGCAGAGCTGTTCCTCCTCATCTGCCACTTTCAGGCTAATCTGTGTCCAGGGACAGCAGGAGCAAAAATACAAAAGAAGCTATTGCAGAGTAGGGAGGAAGCCTCCTCTCGGAAGCCTCCCTAGCCTGGGGGCCTCCCCACTTGCTGCTCTGTGACTACTGTCCCCTGCCTATTCTTGCATCAGCTACTTTAGCTGGGGTTTTTGGTAGCTTGATTTCAATTTAATAGATTCCTATCGAGCCTGCAACTTGAATTCTGTTTTAATTTCACATTTACTGCTTCAACCACACATTGTCTTTGTATGAGAACAGAAACTTTTTCCCCCCCTTGTAAATTCTTGGTTGCTGCTGCCACTGAGATCTTCTTACACTACACCTGTTTTCCTCCATAGTGGAGAGGGGTGGGATGCATGGTATAATACAGAGACCCGTGACTCTCTAATTGGCAGCACACTCACATGCAGAAATGAAATAATAGAGGCCAATGGCAGTTTGTGCTTTTTTTTTTTTTTTAAAGGCACAGGGGTTTTAGTGGATTCAGTTCCCACTTGATTCGGTCAACAAGTGTTCAGTAGTTGTCTACTCTGGCAGAAATTTTTGTAGAAAATGGAGTACCAAACTAATGAGATTTGGCCCAGCTCTTGGGGAGAGGTCACAGTCATGTTAGGGGACAGGCTTATATCAGATGATTAAAGTATATTGTGATACCTGAAGTGAGAGGACAGGCACCAGTCCAGTCTGGGACAAGCCCAGGAAAGGTTTACCAAAGAAGGGGTGGTTGGGTGGGGTCTTGAAAGATAAATAGGAGCTTGGAGAGTGTGTGAGGAAGAACGGAGGCTCTAGGAAGAGTGAGCAGCATGGATGAGGAGACCGGGCTAAGGCATGAAAAACACGGCCTGCTGAGGGATTGACAAGACTTCCACTCTTCCTGGTGGAAGGAGACAGAAGTGACAGGACAGTCTGGGGAGGCAGGCTGGTGTGTGAGACGCTGAAACCAGGGATGTGGGTGTGGATTAGGCTAGCTGGAGCAAGTGTGTGGGTGGGGAGAGCTAAACCAGGATCCTTGCAAACAGCAACCTGGAAAAGATCAGAGAACGAGGGGCCATAAAGAGCCATCCGCGAGGAAGGAAGAGAACCAGGCCAAGGCTGGGAGAGTGGCAGGTGTGGTCAGCAGGCAAAATCCAATGCCCCAGGAGATCCGTGTTGGATGGGGCAGCTAAAGAGCCAGGCCCCTTGATTTCTCTGTCATTCATGTACTTCTTTTTAAAGCCCTGTGAGCCATAGAATTTCACCCAAACAGGTCATTTAGAGGGTCTGTAGCAGGTCATTTTGACAGGAATGAAGGGTCTGCACACAGTAGGTGCCACATAATTGTTCGCAGTTTCGTGATAATCTCCATCATGATTTATGCTTCCATTCCCATCCGCCCTGGCACGTCAGTTTTACTTCCTCACTTCCCCACAGGCAGGCAAGCTTTTAAAATTGTTGATTGGATCTGGTCACCTCTCTGCTTAGAAATCCTTCAGGGTAAAGTCGGAGCTTGTGCTGGGCCCCTCATGGTGTGGCTCAGGGCCCTCTTCCACCTGCTCCCACACCTTCTTCCTGGCCTTCTGAGTCTGGCCACCCTGGCCGCCTCCTGGGCCTTCCCACCGGCCTCCAGTGCCCCTTCTCCCAGCTGCACCTCTCTGGCTCCTGCGCATCCTCAGGCCCCCACTCAATATCACTTCCTCGGGGAAGCGTTCCAGGGAGCCCTCTCCTGCCCTGCCCCTTGTAGCACTTTAGCCTTCCCGCTTTCCATGTGTGAGACCACACTTGTGAGCAGGTGTTCTGTAAATTTGTGGACGTTTTCCTCTTCCCCTGTCTGTCCTGCCATTGCTGAGTCGCCGCAGATCTGTGTTGCTGCGTGTTTGACCATACAGTGGCTGGGCTGGCCCCACTTACTCCTCTGGCTGGCCTCTGCCATCATCCAGGCGTGTCCATCTTCTAAAGTTCTGCTACTGCCTCCCTCTGTGAGCCTCCCTGAGCCCCCAACCCCTGGAGTAGCTGCCGCACTGCCCAGGTTGTCTCGTGTCCTTAGGTTGGGTGCACCTTTTGGGGGCTTTTAAGCTTAGAAATCTTAAAGTCTGGCAGCCCTGCAGCACAGCTCCTCCCCGGCACCTGGAAATTCCCTCGCTGGTACAGTGAGTGCAGCAACAGCACCTGGCCTAGGTCAGCTTTGTGGCTGTGAGGTCCTTGCCATCACACAGGCCCTGTGTAATGCTCTGTTGCCACCTGAAATTCTTAATCATATTTGAACAAGGGCCCTGTGTTTTCATTTTGCACTGGGCCCTGTACCTGCCTCACAGGGGTGTGGCGAGGAGCCCTGGGAGAATGTGTGGCATCTGCATACCCCAGGGTCTGGCACCTGGCGACGTGTTCTAAGGGTCACCTGTCATCATTTTAGTTATGCTCAGCCACATCGTCGTCAATAATTCATTCTTCTGTTTGCTTAGCTTCATTGACTAAGCGCTGTGGTCAGAGGCATTGATCAACTGCTTAAAACCGTTCTGCAGCTGCTCCTCACCTGCTCAGGGTTCCCAAACCTGGCCAATCTTCAGATGCGCTGCTGTGGCTTGTTAAAAATAGATTTCTGGGTTGCACCCCAGCAGGCCCATTGAACCGGACTTTCCAGGGTCGGAGCCTGTGAGCCTGTAGTGTTAGCAAGTTCACAGGTGGCTCTAATGCCTTCAGCTATGCCATCACAGGTTGAACAGAGTTTGCAAGCCTTCATCCTGGGTGATAAAACCCAAACGCCTTGCTATAGCATTTGGCATTCTTCCAGTCTGGCCCTGGCCTGACTTCCTAGCTTCATTTCTTTTCTTTTTTTTTTTCCTTTTTGTCTTTTCTCGTGTCCGGCAACAGATCGCAACCCTCAGTGTCGCGCCCGTACCGGACCAGGACCGGCAACGGGATCGCAACCCTCGGTGTTGCTCCCGCACCTCGCTCAGCCAGTGAGCGGGAACCGGTCTGTATGTGGGATCCGAACCCTCGGCAGGAGTGCTGCCGCGCGCTCAAGCGGCGCACTGTAGCAGTGCGCCACTGGGCCGGCCCCCTAGCTTCATTTCTGATGTGTGCCCTAACCCTGCACCAAAGTGTTGGCTTTCCCTGACTACCTGGGGAATTCCTTCACTCCTTTAACACTCTGGAGAGTCATGAAGCTACGTCCCCTTAAACAGGTCATGTTGCTCCTTCCCTTTGTGCTGACCAACACCCTTTTTCTCTGAGCACATGTCACATTGCACAGTGATTTTTCCTGGCACCTTTATCTCCTGCAGCCTGAGAGCTTCTTGAGGGAGCTCACCGCTGTACTCTTAGTTAGCATCAGTGATGTACAGACCATGCAGATTCCCTACACATGCCAGACTACCCAGTGGATACACATCTCCCTATGCATCCGTCTTCTGGTACCCCCACAGCCCTGAGCACACAGTGAGTGCTCACTTGGGCCCCACTGCTTCGTTCAGCCTGGCCAGTCTGTGGCACAGGTGTGCTCCACAAATGCCCACTGTGCAACCCGGCAGAACAAATGCCATTTCAGCCCTCAGTGCTTACCTCGTACCTGGGAGGGTCCTGCTGCTTGTGGCTAAATCCTGGCTCTGTGGGAATAGCCCCTGCCTGGAGAACCTTTCCTCGCAGGAGTCTACATGCACAAAAATCATTCCAGAAGGTCACGCATGTGTGTAAAAGGCACCATGTAATCGACAACTTTCTTTATGTAATAAATGCTCCCTCCATGGTCTTTTCCCTATGGAAATGACGGTGTGGCCAGGCTTAGGCTGCTCAGCTGTTTCCAACTAACCCCAGTCATCCCACCTGGAGGGTTTGTTTTTGTTGGTTTTTTCCCCCAGACCTGTTGGGTTTTAAATATTTTTCATATTATTTTAATCATTCTTTTCAGCATTTGCTAAAGGCAGCTGATAACCATGCCAAATGGATTATTTACTTTTAACTAAAAACTCACTTATGCTGTGTGTTCATTGTGAGCATTAATGGCTAACACCTGAGCCATAAAAGAGTATTGGGTGAGTCGAAGATGCTTTTCTGAGCACCTACTGTATGCTTTGCCCTTGGGGGAACATGTAGACATAGCAATTCAGAGCAATGAGCCAGTCTGATTTTCAGAGGCCTTTAGCCTCCTGGACTGACATGGTAATAATACTCAACACCTTCATTACAAAGTGCTTCATGCACTGTCATCCTCAGCAGCCCTGTGGGGGAGGTATGGAAGCCTTTGGATAGATAATGGAATAAACCAAGGCTCGTGTTTAGAGCCTGGGTGTTTTGGTCCATTGGCCTACTTTGTCCAGTGGGCAGAGATCTGGATCAAATTGCCCACCTCCTCGGAGCACTTTGGACATACCACAGGTTTGGGAAACCCTTTTTTTCTTCTTGGATGTCCTTCCTGATATGGAAAAAGGTGGCTAGTGATGTCTGGAAACTTCTGAATTTCCTGGGAGGATTCAAGGCTGGTGAGGACATCAAGGTGGAGGCGGGCCAGGAGCACCACTCTTTTCACTCGGAGCTGCAGTTTGGCTGTTGACGGTGGCGGGTGCTTTCTGAGTCTTGGGGAATGCTCCATGCTCCTGGTAACGTTCCTTTTCTCCTCTGTCTCTTTCTCAGGCACATCTCTCTAACACTCCCTGCCACCTTCCGAG